TTTATGAGCATTTGCATTCAGAAGCGTTTTTTTAAAGATAAGCACAGGAGAACCTTCCAAATGCTCAGAGTGCACTGGAAAATGGTAAATTATTAACTATTTCAAACTGTTTGAGAGAAATAGAGAGAGTAGAAGCAGAGAGAGCAGTATTTGCTAAGTTTAGCTGTCTTCTTTTTTTAGTTTTTTTGGGGTGTTTAGACGTTTTCCAGCTAATGTCTGTGCAAAAATTATTGCAGCAGTGTCTAACATATTTTCTTTCATGCTAAACCTCAAATTATGGTGTACCAGGTCCATTTGAGTACCGGGAAAACGCTTTGCATGCATTTTTCATGATGAAAAAAGGCTCTGGACAGCATCTGGAAATGGAAGAGTTAAAAAAAAGTTTCCAAACGCTTATAAACGCGGTTAGCCACAAGTTTGCAAGCATTGGAACGCTGATAAAATCTGCTGAATGCAAGTTTGGTGTGTTAAAAAAACAACTGTAAACTCAACTGCCTGTAAACGACTACACGACCTAGTGTACATGGACACATAGGAAAACGTTAGGGAGAGTTCAGGGGCTGCTGAAAAAAACGCAGAAAAGCTCCTGAACGTGAGTTTATCAACTGCAGTGTACATGGAGCCTTAATCAGTACATGTGCATATAGTAGAGATCCTAGTTCTGGCGCTCCCTCTCCCGGTATGGAGGTCTACCATGTAAAACACAAGAGTCTGATACCAAGATGGACTCCGTATGTAAATCAGTTTCTTTAAATATACATTTCGTTATTTTGTAATGAATTTATAACATTGTGTTTTTTATTACTTGCCTGGATGTTAGCTTTATTTTCAACGCACATGTTGGGAGTATTGCCTCAAATAACTTAAAGAACTATAAACCTGGAATGAAGGTCATTTTTGTTGTGTTGGAAAATGTTTTAATTGATTTCCTATTATTGTTCAGTGTAATAGCAGAGATAAGCTTGGTGCTAGAGATCAAGTCCTGTGATATTTCTAGGTCACCAGCCATTTGCAAACAAAGACAGAAACTTGGGTGGATTGGTATATTAAGCTGGCCATAGATGGATAGAATGTCGAATGAAAATTCTCTTAGCATTTGAATTTTGTTTGAAAGATTTTGTTCGCCTTTAACATTTGATTTGGAAATGAATGGACTTTACCAAATAAAATCCACATACACTGTTTGAAATTAATTCTAGAAATATTTTTGATCCTGCTCCTTTAAATTTAAAATTTTCTCATCAATGTTGTAGAGAACAAATGGCAGTTTGACCTACTGATGATTAGAAAAATGAACCAACTTTCTTTGTTAGAAATTCTACTCATCTATGGCCATCCTTATGAATTTCATCTGTTACATTGATACAGTGAAATGCAGACAGGAGATTTAGTTCCAATTTCCCCTTGGACCCTATAAACCTATATCTTTGTTAATGAGCGATTGTAAAGACTTTGTCCAGTGGCAGATAGGCGTAATGAAATAATTGTTTACTTAATATGGTCGAAGATTAACCGCTTACCCAGCTGTGCTGTGATAAGTTACAGCACAAGCCAATCAACGGGCCCCAGCCAATGATTGATGTCTGGGATCCACCAGTGTGCATAGCGGACGACAGGATAGAGCTCTGTGATTACAAACACAGAGGCGCAAGGATGTGCCAGGTGTTTTTTCCCTGTAAACCAGGAATAAAACAGAACATCCCTTAGTAAAATCAGCACACAGTAGACACACCAAGCATTGCTAGGCACATAGTTAACCCTTTGATTGCCCCTAGATGTGTTACACCTTCCCAGCCAGTGTCATTAGTACAGTGTCAGTGTATATTATTAGCTCTAATCACTGTATTCGTATCACTGGAGATGTCAGTGGCAGTTAGTCAGTTCCCACAGGGTGTCAGTGAGTGTCAGACTGCCCGCCGTACTATCACAGACCCGCTATAAGTCGCTGATCGCTATCATTATTAGTATAAAGAGAAAATAAATTAAAATTCCATAATATATACCGCAGTTTGTAGAAGCTATAACTTTCACGCAACCACCAAAAATATGTACCAGAATATATTTTGTCCTAAACTTATGAAGAAATTCGGTTTTTTAAGTTTTTACTGGATATGTTTTATTGCAGAAAGTAAAAAAATATATTGTTTTTTTTTTTTTTTTTTTTTTTTAAATCTCAGTCATTTTTTTGTTTATATAATAAAAAACCCAGTGGTGATCAAATACCGCCAAAAAGCTTTTTGTGTGAAAAAAATTATATAAATTTTGTTTGCACAGTGTTGCATGACAATGCAATTGTCAGTTAACCACTTTCTCTCTGCCCTATAGCTGAAGTACTGCTACAGGGAGGCAGTGCTGCGTAAAATCACACGTATATATACATAATTTGCCATTAACGGGTAGGGGCCGCTATTGGCGGCTAGGGATGTCAATCACCGGGTCCCGGCAGGCAAGTCCCGGCCAGCAGCGATCATCGGGTAAAGCTGACAGGGGAGAAACCTGTGTGTAAATAACACAGGTCTCTCTCCTGTCAGCATGGACATGATGCTTTGTATCTCTCTGTACAGCATGGCTCCCTAGTAAAACACAACACATAGAACACAGTTAACTCTTTGATCTCCCCAGATGTTAACCCCAGCACACAATAGACACACCAAGCATTGCTAGGCACAGTTAACCCTTTGATTGCCCCTAGATGTGTTACCCCTTCCTACCCAGTGTCATTAGTACAGTGTCAGTGCTTTTTATTAACACTGATCACTGTATTAGTGTCTCTGGGGGTGGCAGTTATTCAGTTCCCCCCAGTGTCAGAATGCCTGCCGCAGTTCTATTAGTATAAGCAAAATAAAAATTCCAGTATATATACCGCCATTTGTAGACAGCAGAACTTCCACAAAAACCAATTAATTTACACGTATTGGGATTTTTTTTTAGCAAAGACATGTAGCAGAATACATTTTGGCCTAAATTTATGAAGAAATTTGATTTTTTTTATTTTTTTTTAACTGAATATGCTTTGTAGCAAAAATTCTAAAATATTGAATTTTTTTTTTTCAAAATTGTCTTTTTTTTTTTTTTCTTATAGCGCAATCCGTGGGAAAAAGGACATAAATTTAATTTGGGTGCAGTGTTGCATGACCGCGCAATTGTCAGTTAAAGTAACGCATCGCTGTATCGCAAAAAATGCCTGGTCAGGAAGTGGGGGTAAATCCTCTGGAGGGCAAGTGGTTAAAGTAGCGCAGTCTGAATAGCAGAAAATGGCCTGGTCAGGAAGTGGGGGTAAATCCTCTGGAGGGCAAGTGGTTAAAATAGCACAGTCTGAATAGCAGAAAATGGCCTGGTCAGGAAGGGGGTAAAACCTTCCGATGGGCAAGTGGTTTAGTATAAACTTTAATAATATAGTACAGACATGGTATAATATATAGTATACTATACAATAAAGTAGTATAGCATCATATAGTACAGAAATGACAGTAATGTAAATTACTATAAACATAGAATATAGACATAGTATAGACATTATATTAATATAGGATAATATGGACATAATTGTATAGTATAGATATGGTAATATACTGTAGACATATTATAGTATAGACATGATAATAAATATTGCATAATATAGAATAGTTTGGACATGATAACATAATATAGACCTAATATAGTATAGTTTAGACATGATAATAATATTGGATAATATAGAATAGTTTGGACATAATAACATAATATAGACCTAATATAGTATAGTTTAGACATGATAATAATATAGTATACTATAAACATGGTATAGTATTGTATAGTATTGACATGATAATGATAGTATAAATATATAGTACAGACATTGTGATATGGAGTGATTAAGCTCAATGGTGGTGAGCAGTCTTTAATGAGTTCACGTCAGTCCTAACTGCCGTTTAAGGATTTACTAGCCCACTGTTATTAAAAGGAAAAGCAAACAAAAGTAATGGTTCAATGTTGCCCACACATTGGATTTTCTGTAGCAAACAGATAACATGCCAAGGCACTTGGCTCTCTTGGCAGTGGCACCAATGCTAATGACGCTGATCCCTCAGACCCAGCCCTGGCTCTTTAGTTACAGCTCCTCACTACACAGGTTTACTCCTGGCCTCTAGATTTGGGTTCTCCTGACACCCCAGGCTCTCTCACTCCTCTGAGATTTACAGAATCCCTCCAGTCCCCTGGACTTGCTAGATGCCTGTAGGTCTCTCTGTCCTGCAGATCCACCTGGTTGTCTCAACTATCCTAGTTCTGAGGGTAGTAAATCCCTCCAATTTGGAGTCTTATCTACCAAGTGGATCACCTCTCCTGGCTGGAGCACACACCTATTTCCACACTCGGGCTCTAAGCTATGGCCAGCTTCTGGCTTATAACAATTGTACACCTGGACACACACACACCTTGCAGGTCTCCAGGAAGACCTGGACACAGGATTTAAGGCTTCATCCCACCCAAGACTGTGAAGTCTTGATGCTCCAGGCCCTGATCCGGGATTACAAAACCCAGAGAAAGCTGAAAACAGTTTTCTCTGCTCACAATAAACACTCCAGAGCCCTGCATTGCGCATATGTGTGAACCCTATTGTTCAAAAAAAAAAAAAAAAACATATTTTTGACTTTTTGCCATTAAACATGTCCAGTAAAAAAATGTAAAAAAATCAAATTTCATCATAAATTTAGGCCAAAATGTCTTTATGATGTAATGCTACATGTCTTTACTAAAAAATCCCAATATGTGTAAATTAATTGGTTTACATGAAAGTTATAGCGTCTACAAATGGCGGTATATATATACTGGATTTATATGTATATATACTAGTAATGGCATCAATCAGCGACTTTATTGTATTGTGGGACTGCGGCAGGCATTCTGACATTTGGGGGGAACTGATTGTCACTGACATCCCTGGTGACATTAATACAGTGATCAGTGCTAATAAAAAGCACTGACACTGAACTTATGACCCTGGGCAGGAAAGGGTTAACATCTGGGGCAATCAAAGGGTTAACTGTGTGCTGTTTTACTGTGTGCTGTGTGTGTGCTTTACTGTGTCAGCACATTCCTTTGTATGACTCTTCTATGCAGAGTCATACAAAGCAGTGTGTAAGAGCTGATGGGAGAGATCTGTATTGTTTACATACAGGTCTCTCCCCCATCAGTGATACTCGGCAATCGCTGGGTGTCGGTGAATAATCACCGGCCGGAACTTGGTGATCGACAGCTGAAGCCGCCAATGATGGCGTGGGTAGGGCGTCTGCCTGGCGCGCATGCTCCTCCTACCCGGAAATGTAAAATCATGTTTATATACGTGATTTTGTGCAGCTCTGCCGCCTTGTAGCAGTATATCTGCTATAGGGCGGCGGGAAAGCGGTTAATAAATGAATAATGTAGATGAGTCACTGGGATTTCCTAACATTCTGTAAACCCAGGCATTGTGCTATTTTGCTAGTGTTTATTGTATCCTTTAATCTTTTTGCTTACTAATGTAACCCTCTACAGCTTTAGTTAACCCAGCTAATTATCTCCAAGATAATTGGTAATAAATGGCAGTTCTACCTTTCATTCAAATAAAGGAATAATTGCAATTTCTGTTCTTTCTACTGTCAGATAAGAGCAGGGGTTCCCCTAAGGTTTTACTTTGACTTGTTAGACCTTCGTACCCTAGCACACCAATTTACAAATGATATGATATGTAGCTGGTATGTGTGATGTATACATGTTAACTTTAAAAGCACTCGTTTTTACATCTTTAATACAACACTAAAATCTCTACCATTGTGAACCCATTGAACAAGTGTACAAACTATCAATACTGCTAAAGAGCCGACAAATATCACAGAGATCTAGGAGCCAGCTGATAAAGTTAAGCTGGACATAGACGATTCAGATCCTGGCCATTTTGTCAGGGACCGGCCAAGATTTGAACCGTGTATGGGCAGGTACCCAAGTTGATTGATCGATCAACTCGGGTACAACCAGTCAGGTTTTACATGCAATTATTGCTAGCGGCTATTATAGCCATCAGCAGTAATCATTGTGTTCTCCCAGTTGGGACAGACGGCATCAGGACTGTGTAGGTGCCAAGGGGCAACGGCAACCAGGATTTGTGTAAGTCTGTTTTACTGATATAAATACTTACACTTTACTTTGTGTTTGAGTAAGTGTGTAAATATGTCAGTAAAATACGACTGAAAAATACTGATCACCATGACAACCAGCTGTAGTTTGCTGGCTCCTACAGCCGGCCATAGCCATAGTAACCACGGAAGAAAATCCCTCAGTGGAGCCATTGTGTTGTCCTGGCGGGGGGAGCCATCCCCACCGTGAGAACACAGTGATTTCTGCTGGTGGCTCTAATAGCCGCTAGCAATAACCATTCTCTCATCCTAACAGTACTGACCCATATGCTCTTGCTACATCACACTACTTACCCACATATTCTCTCAATCTCTCAGTACCGACCCATAATACTGATCCATATCCCACTATCACTGTACTGCTCCATGTACTCTCTCGCTCTCACAGTACTGACTCATAAGATACCTTGCTCTCACAGTACTGACCCATATGCCCTCTTACTCTCACAGTACTGACCCATATGCCCTCTCGCTCTCACAGCGCTGACCCATATGCCCCTCTCTCACAGTGCTGACCCATATGCCTCTCTCTCTCTCACAGTGCTGACCCATATGCCTTATGCTCTCACAGTGCTGACCCATAAGCTCCCTTGCTCACAGTGACCCATAACTGACCCATATGCCCTCTCGCTCTCACAGTGCTGACCCATATGCCCTCTCGCTCTCACAGTGCTGACCCATAAGCTCCCTTGCTCTCACAGTTCTGACCCATATGCCCTCGCTCTCACAGTGCTCACCCATATGCACTCTCTCACAGTGCTGACCCATAAGCTCCCTTGCTGTCACAGTGATGCCCCCATGTTGTCCTCTTGCCCTCACAGTGCTGACCCATATGCCCTCTCTCTCTCTCACAATGCTCTCCATATGCCCCCTTGTTCTCACATTGCTAACCTATATGCCCTCTCTCTCTCTCTCTCTCTCTCTCTCTCTCTCTTCACAGTATTGACCCATATGCCCTCTCACTCTCACGGTGCTGACCCATATGCCTTCTTGCTCTCACAGTGCTGACCCATATGCCTTCTCGCTCTCACAGTGCTGACTCATATGCCTTCTCGCTCTCACAGTGCTGACCCATATACCCTCTCGCTCTCACAGTGCTGACCCATATGCCCTCTCACTCTCACAGTGCTGACCCATATGCCCTCTCTCTCTCACAGTGCTGACCCATATGCCTTCTCGTTCTCACAGTGCTGAGCCCCCTCCGTCTCTTACACACAGCAAAAACACAGTGAGGGAAAACACATGTGAGTAATCCGGTTTCTATCAGGCACTGTGTAGTCATGACTGGGGCAATTAACTGCATATAAAGTGCTAAAACACTTGGTCACCAGAGATTCTTTTTTCAGTGTTTTTCCTCCACATTCTTTGAACAGTGCCAGAGCCGAGGGTGTTTTAAATACTTTGTGAAAATGTTAAAATTTGGCTAGGCATTGATTGGGTAGCTTATGTAAAGCACGTCATGTGCAGGTCATTTGTGTCACTTTATATCTGAGTGTTATTCAGCTTTCAGATTATGATGATGTGCAAAGAAGAAAATGTCAGTAGAGGAATGACCTGTCTACTCATATGACTGTGGAAGGACATGTCATCATGTGACAAGGGAATAGTAAATGGTGTTTGGCAATGAATATCTGCAAGCAGATTACAAGGTGTAAAGAGCAATGATTTCAAACTGCCTACAGTAGTGATATCCAGTGCCTGTAAAACTACAAGGATCAAGACTCCAATGCAGTCTTTCTAAACTTATTTAACATGGAGGAATAACTTTTCTGTCTCCTGAGAACCACTGCTAATAACTACTTTTATTTAAAACTTATGGTACATTAGAATAATGGTCAGTGGGAAGATTGCTGCTTATGTCATAAAGACATCATAAGCCTACCAATTTAACAAGTTTAAAATAACTCAAACACACAAAACGCAAAAACCAAAAAACTAACTAAATTGCGATCAGAACCAATGTTTGGTCAAGATTTAAATGTAGAAAGCCAATTTGTGAACTCTAAGCCTCGTGCACACGATGAGAAAATTGGATGAATGATCGTCTGTTTTTTTTTTTCCTTTTCTTTTTTTTGCATGCTAGTCTCCATGTTGAAAATTAAGAGTTTACTAAAGTTGATCCAGGGAATATCTGATTGCCTCTTGGGGCATATTTTCCCCTGCTGGAGTGAATTGGAACAAGCTTTATTGTTTTTTTTTGGCTTTTTCTGGATCAGCTGTGGGTATATGATTGTTTATATAGGATTGTATAATTCTTTTTTTTCCTTTTTAATGTTTGAACTTGAGGTCTTTTTTTCAACCAGACTAACTATGTACGAAAATTCGCGTACAACAGAATACAGCTTTGGAAGTGATGTAATATATGTTATTGTAATGTATTCTTTAGTTTCCGAGTATGTGCGGTCTTGGTCACTCAATTTATTTCAGAAGAATACTGTGCTGATTAAATGAAAATAATTTGTTCTGGTATCGTATGAGAAAAATTTTCGTGCTTGTCCGTTTGGATAATTGGATAAATTGGATAACTGTCGGGATCGGTATTTTTCATCCTATTTTCTCATTGTGTGTACTAGCCATTAAAAAAATCCTTGGTGGTTACTTATCTGGGAGATCAAAGTTGCTCATTGTTCAAGAAAGAAAGCCCTAGAAGCCTCTGGAGGAACCCTAGGGTTCCATGGAACCTTGGTTTGAGAATGGATGCTTTAATATCTAATTATAGACTGTACATTACAGTTGTCTGTTTGCCAGTTTTCTTTTTTCCTTTTAGAATAATGAGTTTACATAAAGGAGTAAAACCTAACCATTGTAAGAAGCCCTGTTAACGTTCAATGGTTTGCCCCAACCCTCATACTGCCAATATTTCTGTACAGCTTTGTGTATTGAAGGAAGTTGAAAAATAACAGACTTAGGCCTAATCCACACCATGAACCATGTGCATAAAAACTGATGGAAAAACCACAGTTTTCACTTGTAGAGACATGAGTTCACATCAGTTTTCATTCGTATTTCAGAGAGTTTTATACACATTGCAAATTCCTGCGCAGAAAAACTTTGCACGTAATATTAGTGTTGTAGGGTAAACAGGGAACATAGAGAACAATTGTTTTCTTTGTGCCCTTGCAGAAGGCGTGCAGAAAAACTCACATCTCTGCCCACTGGTGTGAACAAGGCCTTAAGCCTAGAACACAGTATTAGAAAATCGAACAAAAATATCCATGTTTGGAACAGTCTTTTGATTTTCTGTTCGTTAGTACATTGCTTTTGAGAGCTGATGTGTAGTGTTCAAACAAAATTGTCCCAAGTGGCATGTTGGAAAATTGTTCTTGTTCATTATCATAATGTCCAATATTCATTTAATTAGTACAGAATTCAGCCTATAAAAATTGAATGAACAAGTCCGTATATGATTAGAAACGTATGACCATAGACTAGACATAGACCATAGGTATGTACGTAGGGAAGTTTTCCTCTGTCATTCGAATATTTTTGTACCATATTAGGCATTCTTGTTTTCAGCCTGGGATGAAGAAACGGAAAAAATGCAAATGATCATTTGCTCAATTTTCTAATCATCTGTGTTAGGCTTTCCTGGACTGATCATCTGGTGAGAGTAAGGGGAAAAACGTAAAAAATGAAAATGAATGCAGCTACCGACTCTGTTTGTTTATGGGTTTAATAGCAATGTATATTATGATGACTGAGGAAGATATCTCAACTTTTTTTTTTACATTACTGCCAGGGAAGGAGAATTCTATATTTTCACTACTCTAATAGAGAACGCCTTTCATTTAAGATGAAACCACCTTTTGTACAATCCTAAATTCTGTCCACTTCTCTTCTTGGACTTAAATCAGCATTCATTTTCACTTTGTGATCTGGCCAGTAAGCCTGCTGTTTTTTCAACTTCCTTCAACTGGCCAAGCTGTCCAGCGAAAGTGCCAGTTAGAGGGTCAAGGCAATCCATTTACCAATTATAGGGGTGCTTACAATGGCCAGCTTTCATTTATTTATGTAAAACTTCTATCACCCCCAAAAATGCTGCTATAACTGCTCAAAAAG